AAACATCGGATGGTTGCGTGATTGCTCCCCAACCAGTCTATTCCTAGAATAATGTCAAATTTTTTCATGTTTAGAAGGTGTAGATCAGCTATAAATTCTTTTCCTTCCATTTCTAATTTTACTGCCTTAGCGATCTGATTGATATTCAAAATTCTATTGAATAGAATGAAAATTTCTAGAACACTATCAGATTTTTCACATGTAGTACATGATTTAACAATAAATGCAATGGAGATAAATGAATGAGTAGTCCCTGAGTCCATAAGAACATATGCAGATAGTTCAAATATTGATAGAATAGCTACCATTACGTTCGGAACCTTTGTTGCCTCTTTCTGGTTTAAAGTAAAGACTTTGGCTTTCACCTTCTTGTCGTATTCATTGTCTTTCTCAGATGGGTATGCCTTGTAGGCCGGGGCAAAATGGGCTTTTTGGCCATATCGATAGCACACATTTTTTTCCAAATAACCACTCTCCTCCATGTGTCTTATTGCATTTAGGAAATTGTGGAGTAACTTTATTTGGTTTGCTAAATCCTTTCCCTTTATTCGATCCATTCTACTTTTATTTCCCATATGATTCATTATTCTTCTCAGTCATCCAATCCATTTCTAGACGATCACAAATTAAATGAGCTCGTTGAAGCACTTCGTTATAGGCAGTCCTATGGTGAGATGTCATGATTCCTCCAATCTCTAGATGCAAACCTAGTTCAAACCTCCTAGCCTTCTTTGGCTCGATGTCCACAAGGTGTGTAGCATACCTAGAAAGTTTTTCAAACTTTCTTTCATATTTATCAAGCGACATATTCCTTGTTTCAATTGTAGGAACTCAGTCTCTCTCTGATCAATCAATGATTGGGGAAAGTATTTTTCCATTACTTTTTCTTTGAACTATGCCCAAGTCATATCGCGTTGTTATGCTTCAGTTCTGGTGCGTGATGCAGACTCTCACTAGTGGCCTACTGCTCCAACCAGTATAAATTCAGCACATGATACCTTTTGTGCATCAGTGCATGTCATATGTTTGTAGCTTCGTTCTAGCCCTCTTAGCCACTCCTTGGCTGCCAAAAGGTCTGTTTTGCCATCAAAAGAAAGAGGTTCGAAACAGCAAAATTGCTCCAAAATTGAACATGTGTTGTTGGCATTTGCAAGTCTATTTTGAGAAGGTACTAGTACAGGTGCTTGATTCCTACCAAGTTCATGCATCGCTCTCATCAGATCCCTAAACATAGTTACTTGGTCTTGTTGTCTCGCCATTTTATTTAAATTAAAGAAAAATATCTTAGAATTATTGGACAACACAGTAGCTCAATATGTTCAAAGGAAATTAAAATTTTTTATTAATAGTATTCCATGAAATTAGGATATACAATAGTTCGAAAATTTTAATTTCCAATAACATAAATGCAAAGATATCACAATACTAAGGAAATGGAATCTAAGTTTGAATCCTGCGAATCTTCTTTAATGGAGCTTCATCTTCGGAGGAGTCTTCTACCTCATGCCTGAACTCTATGTCCATTTCAACCAGTGGCTCAGGTTTGTGCCCATGATCATTCTCTAACTCCAACCTAAAGTCATCCCATGCTCCCATTTGGGATCTTCTTCTAGGTCAATTCAAATTGAGGTTCTGGCTTAGGTTCAGGCTCCATCTCGGGCTCAACCTCATCATCGAGCTCACTTACTATCGTCGATTGGAGTTCTAAGCTCTCATTCCACTTATTTAGAAGTGTCTGATAGTATATACCAAACTCAATCATGTTTGGGGTGCTCTCGAAGGTTACTTTCTAACATCTCATCCTTAACCATAACTCCCATGTATTTCTATTGAGGTGGAAATGAGTGTATACGGTTATCTATAGCCTCGACATGCGTGATCTCCAATCCTACCTCCACAGCTGCCATACATCTTTCATAAATGTCTTGCACGTGTTCGACGAGTAAACGTGTCAAGTCAGTCACGTAATTCTCATAGGACTGAATGATCGACCTACAGTTCAACGTTGCTTTACAAGCCGCGATCTTTCTAGCAGTCTAATAAGTTATAACCATATCTGTCATATAAGTGTCTAATTATATTTATCTTTGTTAGTGATATCAACTATACATTATACTCTTCTTGGATTTTAATATAATGGCTAATCATCATATCTTCTTATATATTAAATAAAATCATAAAATGCATAACATATTTCATTCTATACATTCACTTATAATCATTTCGTGAATTCAATCTTAAATGATATATAAATCATGCTTGATAATAAAATAAAACATAACATAACATTTCATCCATACCTTGGGTTCATTGGACGTTAGTAGATGATGAGTGCTAAATGCTATGGGCCTTATTTTAATATTTGTTTAAAATTCAGTTAAAATCTCATCACATATGGAACTAAATATTTTTTCTTTCACAAAATTAGAGTATTTTTTTTCCACAAAAATAAAATAGAGATACTAGATCAACATGTGACTCTAAGTCGATTTCTATGAGGTTCAAAAATTTTGATAGGGAACAATTTGCTTGTGATAAAGTTTCAATTAGCAAAGTAATATAATAAGTGCTAAGTTATGTTTTATTTTATAATTATGCACAAATATTCAAAAAGAAGATAAAACAATCAACTATTCAAAAGCCTTGGAACTTTCTGATAAGTATAAAGACAAAAATTAGATTATACGATGTTAATTAGTGTAGAATGTAAATAATCAAGAAAAAGACTCTATCAAAATCCCATATAGATATCTCTGGCTTCTAGAAACCAATTACAAGTTATCCAATCATTTCATGAAAAGAAATACATTCAAATATTTAAGTGGGTAGCAAAGAATTTACGACATAAGAATTTCAGAATCACAAATTGTCAAGATAGTAATAATAAAGGAAACTAATGGAATTTTTTTCAGTCATATAAAGAAAAAAAGAAAAAATTGATTATTAGATATAAATTGTCAATTGAAATAGATGACAATGAACAATGACACTTTTCTCTATTCACATACCCCCCCCCCCTTTTTTCTCTTTTTTTGTTTTTTAACACAATCACAAAGCATGGTCTAAGTTAAATTATCTAGATATTGCGACTAAAAGTTCGCACATAATTCACTTAACGAAATTCATATTATACATGATGGTGAAAAAAATAATTTTTTTCCCGGTCTCCAGAAAGGTATACTGGGCTTTGATACCAAATTATAACGCCCCAAAATCTAATTCATTTTTATTTTATAAAATAGACTTGAGGTGTTGCCCAAAAATCAATCATCTTTATTTAATCCAAGCAAAAATTCATTATTTTTTTAAATTTGATCGATAACTAGATATTGATAAATCAACAATTTATCTAAAAAAAATTCAAATTTAATAAAATCTTAAAATACTACGGTGTCAACCCATAAATTTAAGTTTAACATAGAACATCAATTGCTTGAACACAAAAACTATTAAATAACTTGCATAAAATTTAACATAAGGATTTTTCTTTTTCAAATATAAATTTGAAATTTTCATTTCTAGAATCTTTTACATGGCGACCCTATAAGTATTACTCGGTAAATCTTCCATGCGTTCACATGACCCGTTCTAATCTGAGAATTTGTAATAAGAGTGAGTATTTTGAAAATATATAGTAAAAATACGCACACATTACTATTAACGTGATATAAATATAAAATAATATAGTATACCGACATTTCTTAGATTTAGAGCAAGTTGATCGTAACATTCAATAGCTTAAGAAATTTCATCAGAATTCTAACATTCCCTGGGACTTAATATTCAACATAACGGTACATTTCGAAGTATTTAACATATTCGATTTAACAGTCCATTCCGCAGGATTTAACATAGAAATCAACCCGAAGGCCTTGACATATTTCATGCCAAAATCTATAAAATATCACGAAAAATAAGAATTTATCACTTGCACGAAGTATTATTAACTTAGTTGATATAACCAATTCTAAAAATATTCCTTGAGACTAATTAAAAATGGGCAAAATGTTTGTAAGAGGATGAAAACCAACTTGTAAAATGCTGAATATGTTTGGGGAAATAAACAATACTCCTATTCAGCAAGGGTGTGTTAACGTGTGGAATCACTTTTTGCATGGCAAAGAGAAAAAGATACTTCACATATACACTATATATGCACACAATATCTACTTGTATGACATCAACTTAACGTCCATAAAATTCAAAACGTGGAAGAGTTAATTTTAAAATTCAATCAGCTAGTCAATTATTATATTCTTTACTGTCAGTTAGGTGTGAAAATCAGGAAGAACAAGTAATTGTTTATTACATAAATGATTGATATACGTTTTATAACAATGTCATTTCAAATTCCAAGTAGTACCTGACATGAGTTCCATTTTGTTAATTCATAATAATTGATTTGTGTTTCTCTCTCTCTCTCTCTCTCTCTCTCTTTTAATTACAATGAATGGACGTTTTATTTTGATTTCCAATGAATGGGACATTTCAATTGATTTTATACATATATAATAATATATATTTTATTAATAAAATATAGGATTCAAAATACTTTCTTCCTACCAAAATAACTTAGATAAAACTAATCTAAAATTATTTTTTCTTGGAATAATTTATGTTATTTAATACGAGCTACAAAAAAAGTATAATATCGATATATTTTTGTCAATTAAAAAATACGTAAATATTTGACTCAAATAACTTACGATAAATTCTAAAATTATATGTATGCAAAATAAATTATTTATACAAATAAGTGGGTTGTATTTATCACTTTAACTTTTGAAATTTAGTGTGACGACAATGCTGGACATCGATTATTTTATTTGCTAAATTACCAACATTAAATTTAGCCTACATGGAATTAAAATTTAATATACAGGGTGTTACATTTTATAATTAACTTTTTGTGGATAAAAAAGGATTGATTTGAATTTTCAAATGTTAAAATTGAAATGATAGGAACAGTTTGTGTAATAATGGAGCGCAATACGGAATTTTACGCCAATTACCTATATTTTATGGAAGGATTTAATGAAATAGATAGAAAGGACCAACTCCGCAAGGAAAGTTTAAAATGAGAGTGTACATATCAAGTTTGAGAAAATCGGGAGTATTTTTGCAATAGTTGTGAATGACAGAGATATTTTTTTTGCTAATTGCCCTTCATAAGTAGTATATAACTCATCTATGACTTGAAAACTTGAGATAATACAGCCGTCAATCAATGCCGCACTTCAATCAAGGATGTATGAAGTCTCATTCTCAAAGGCAACCTCCCAACTTGGAGTAAATTCCAAAACATGATCTTCTTTGATTCGCTAGTCTCTCTATTGTCGTCTTTGAATTCGCTAGTCTCTCTATTCACTACAATAAAAACAAATTTTTACAATGTTCAAAAAATGTTGCTAAAGACATTTTGTAACATTCGATCGCATGTTGTAAATCTGAATGTTGTCGTAGAGTAGAAGATAAATCATTTCATAAATTTTTTTGAGCGTTGCAAAAACACTTTCACAAGTTTTTTGACCGTTGCCCTAGGATTTTATTTTTATTTTTTTATTTTTTTATAGCAATTTATGTGAATTGACTCGTAAAATTGAAAATGACTCATTTTGAACAAATTTTGAAATTTGCATAAAAATTCATAATTTCATTACAAATTTTTGAATTCATACATTTGAACATTATAATGTGATACAACACCAACTAAATAAAAAGGAGCTTCAAAATATAACAAAATTAGGAATAAAATTTTGATACAACTTAGGCATGAAGAGCTTATTGCTCCACTTGCAATAACAAGCTTTTGAATAATACTCTAATGGCATACTCAATCTTGTCGTTCTTCATACATTCTTTAATTTGCTCACCACACAAATTCACAATGGCCAACGAAGTTGCAAGAGAAGCATTTTGAATCAATAAGAAAAATGTCTCTGTATTTGAATTTCAATCAAATCATATGTTATTTACCGTTTTTGCAAAATTGACACACGGAAAACCAACTACCTGAAAAATTGACACAATTTACATTGGAGTTCATCAAAAGATTCCTTGGAAGATTTAATACACTAACTGAACTAAAAATAAATTTCCAAGTCACGCCTTAATAATTGTGCTATTTTGAAATGATTGTATCTGATTTTTCCCAAAGAAAAACAGGAAGAAATAAATGAATTTACTGTTCTATAAAGGCCTTTAGTAACAAGTGGAACGCATTGGATAACACCATATCTTTTGCTAAAGTTCATGCACAAAGAGATGCAGTAAGCACTGTTGAAGACTTGAAGCAACAAAAAGAAAGCTTTCTTATAACACAGAAGGATTTAAAGAAAAAAACTTACTTTGTTTCCTTCCGTACAGTTATACAAGTGTGTATAAATGCAGGTCGAATATCAGGTGAACTGTCTGCTAACCGATTGACTGGAGGTTGTATATAGGCTGTTTGAAGCAGCAATTCACTGAGTCGGCTGCCAACCTGTGCACATTTAGGGGGTGTTTGATAAGTATTTTTGTGTAAAAATGTATTTTAAAATAGTAAATTGATGTGAAATGTGTGGTTGAAAAATAAGGAAAAGTTTTAGACTTACGTGTAATATTATTTTAATAAAGAATGTGTGGTTTAAAAGAAAAAAGAGAAAAATGCATTTTAAAGAAAATGACTATCAAAGGGCTCTTAGTTTGTAAGAAAACAGTAAACTTAATGCAATGAGTACAAGAGTTAGGTCAGACCTTCGCTTTAGCATCAGTGCCCCATGGTTTTGAATCATCCTGTCCTTTAACTAGTTGCCCCACTGCTCGCAAATTTTGTTTTTTCATCAAATTATTAACAGCCTTTTACAAATTTTCTTGTTCTTGGTCATTGCCATCAGAACCACCTCCTTCCTGTTTTGTCTCTTTAACTTTTTGCCTCTCTGTTTTCTTCAAGAATTTGTGTATTCTAACCTGATCGATGACAGAAATTGTTAGAAAACTAATTACAACCAACCATAATTAGGATACTGCTTTAAAGCAACATCAAAAACATAATTAGGATACTGCCATACAAATCACAAATCATGCCCATCTACTTACTAAAGTAACAACCAGAATATAGTGCAAAAAATAAAATAAAATTTTGCAACACAAAATAAACATTGCAAAAAGACGACATTAGCAACATTCACTTAAAAAATGCAGCCAAATCTCAATTATTAACATAAATGGCAACATTCACTTATAAGAATGTTGCAATAGACACTTTTATCAACATTAAATTAATAAATGTTGTCTTTTGCATGTTGCAAAAAGGCATTTTTATTGTAGTGATTATACTTAGAGATGTAGTTGGGATTTTCATTTAATAATGGCTGTGGGTCGCCGTTTAAGTGGACCAGACATGTATTCTATGGAATGGATTGAAAAAGAGTGGTTTGATTTACTCTACAAAGGGAGTGATTTGAATTTTAAATTGAAAGCTCAGCTCTCAACATCATATAACCTCTCACCATTTTTTTAAAACTATTCTAAACGGCCATGGCCCCGGAGGGGGGGGGGGGGGTCAAAAGAAAAAAAACTTACTTTGTTTCCTTCCGTACAGTTATACAAGTGTGTATAAATGCAGGTCGAATATCAGGTGAACTGTCTGCTAACCGATTGACTGGAGGTTGTATATAGGCTGTTTGAAGCAGCAATTCACTGAGTCGGCTGCCAACCTGTGCACATTTAGGGGGTGTTTGATAAGTATTTTTGTGTAAAAATGTATTTTAAAATAGTAAATTGATGTGAAATGTGTGGTTGAAAAATAAGGAAAAGTTTTAGTTTTATGTGTAATATTATTTTAATAAAGAATGTGTGGTTGAAAAGAAGAGACAGAAAAATGTATTTTAAAGAAAATAACTACCAAAGGGGCTCTTAGTTTGTAAGAAAACTGTAAACTTAATGCAATGAGTACAAGAGTTAGGTCAGACCTTTGCTTTAGCATCAGTGCCCCATGGTTTTGAATCATCCTGTCCTTTAACTAGTTGCCCCACTGCTCGCAACTTTTATTTTTTCATCAAATTATTAACAGCCTTTTACAAATTTTCTTGTTCTTGGTCATTGCCATCAGAACCACCTCCTTCCTGTTTTGTCTCTTTAACTTTTTGCCTCTCTGTTTTCTTCAAGAATTTGTGTACTCTAACCTGATCGATGACAGAAATTGTTAGAAAACTAATTACAACCAACCATAATTAGGATACTGCTTTAAAGCAACATCAAAAACATAATTAGGATACTGCCATACAAATCAAAAATCATGCCCATCTACTTACTAAAGTAACAACCAGAATATAGTGCAAAAAATAAAATAAAATTTGCAACACTAAATAAACGTTGCAAAAAGACGACATTAGCAACATTCACTTAAAAAATGCAGCCAAATCTCAATTATTAACATAAATGGCAACATTCACTTATTAGAATGTTGTAATAGACACTTTTATCAACATTTAATTAATGAATGTTGCCTTTTGTATGTTGCAAAAAAACATTTTTATTATAATGATTATAGTTAGAGATGTAGTCGGGATTTTCATTTAATAATGGCTGTGGGTCACAATTTAAGTGGACCAGACATGTATTCTATGGAATGGATTGAAAAAGAGTGGTTTGATTTACTCTACAAAGGGAGTGATTTGAATTTTAAATTGAAAGCTCAGCTCTCAACATCATATAACCTCTCACCATTTATTTCGAATTATTCTAAATGGCCATGGCCATTTGGGGGAGGGGGGTGGGGGGGCTAGGGAGGCAGAGCCTTTGTGGTCCTGGCTATGTATCATATATAAGTGAATCACGGGCAGAAAATGAGCAATTAACATGTACGTTATAGACACATTTTTCATTTTGTGTCAAAATGGTCTGATTTGGGCAATTTTTGAAGTATCTTCAAACCAAATCATTTTAAAGATTTTGATAAAAATTCGACCATAAGAAAGCCATTTCATTTTCCAAACAAAATCAAGCTAAACCACTGTCTGTAATTTGTTTCTTTTCAAACCACGATTTTAGTTACACAAAGTTGACGTATTTCAAACAAGTAGAAAAATAACTATATTGGTTTGCAATTTCAATATAACGCTTAATAGAATTGATCTCCACAAATGTCCGTGAGTTCCTCTATAACTATAAAATTTAAGCTCACAAATTCATTCTTTGAAAAGTGTCATTGTAAATCATTATTTATCTAAAGAGTCAATAGAAACAAAATAACAAGTAAATTTTGTTACAATAGATATTCAACTAATAAATAATTTATACTGTGTTAAATAAGTAACTTTTCTGAAAAAAAGAATAAAAAATAAATTGGGTGAATAGTTAAGGATTTTTTTTTTCCAAACAGTTTTCAACTATCTAAACTTAAATCGAATGATTTTCAAACAATTTGTCGATTTAAAAACAATGATTTATGTTCGATTGGTGCATTATGGTTTTTGTTTACCTTAGTTTTCACTGTAATTCTTACAAACCTTGGGAATTTGGGTGTTGTAATTGGACGTCTACTTTAATTGACATCTTGACCATAAGAGTGCAATAAAAACTAGAATTTGGAGCATGAATTTGTAATTAGATTCGATGAAAAAAGATCTTTAAATTCTTTTACTTCAAATTAAGATTTTTTTTACTCTGAAACTATTTTCGAGCATGTCGCATAATTTTACATGGCTAAGCAAAAAAATGAACTTGGATTACTAAAAACCTTAGTTACTCTAGCTAATAAATTGTTCTCTTAGGGTGGAACGTCAAATTTAATACATGAACTTAAAAACTTAGTTGAACATGTAATCTCACTGCCACACAAAAAAAAAAAAAAAAAAAAAAAAAAAAAAAAGGGATTCAAGCACTGATTTTCCATTTTTGAAACTACGATATCCGTTGCTAGTACTTTTTACCAACGGAATATTAGAAACCACACATTCATTGCTAATTTGAGGGTCGTTGATATTTACCAATAGATCGTGCCGTAGGTAAGGAGTATACCTTTTACCAATGAATTTTCCGTTGGTAAATTGTGAATCTTTTACCTTAACCATTACTGATAAGTGAAGTTTCTACATTTAATTGGGATCCTAAATAATGATATTTTGTTATTTTTTGGACGGATTAGTACTTAATTTGTTATTTATTGCTTTTATTAGGAAAAACTCATGTTTCAAAAAAGAATTGAAAGAAAGAATGGAAAATGGTTAAAATGAACTAAATCCAAAGTTTGAGGACAAAAATGCAAATACTCGAAGTTTTTTCGGACATCATGATAATGATTTGAGAGCGCTCGGGGTCAATTAGATTTGGAAAGAAGTAAAAGGAATGAATTATCGGTCTTGTTTAAGCCACATTATTTTCAAAAAAAATACATTTTTCAACAGTGATTTGACATCATTTCAACTACAAATTTTTCAATAAAATAATATTACACACAAATCTAAAAAAAATTTCTTATTTTTTAACTACACATTTTCCATTGATTTGACATGAATAATGCATTTTTTCTTAGAATGTGACTCAAACATGAGCATAGTCAAAATATTATCATACATCAATTTTCAACTGAAAAAATTATGATTCGGATTTTTAGTCTCATATTGAGACCCAATTTTGGCATAGAAAATTTTTTAATTGAAAAAATGATGTCTCAGGAAGAATTATAGCCCTATAAGTAAGCTTTCAATGCACTTTGAATCACCATAATCGGATATTGGAAGAAAAAATTATGACAAAAATACAGAAAGTCGTTCAGCTGCTGGAACTTAGTCAAGGAGTGTGCCCTCGCCTATAGGAGAGGCGCGCGCCCCCAACCAAAAATGAGGTGACTGAGGCACCCCAAGGCTCCTAGAGGCGCGCCTTAGATTACACTAGGCGCCCGTCTCAATGTTAAACATGAAAAAATTTAGGTTTCCTTTTTTCATTTTTGTAAGGAGTTTCCTTTGCATCATATAAATAGAACACGCCCATATAATGGAGAACCTGCCTTAGACCTAAAAATTCATATATTCTACATATTTTTGAGGTGACGAATGAGGTTAGATCATCAACATCAAGAGAATTGTACAAGATTCTTGAAGATTATCCATCTAAAATCAAAATTTCATTCAAGAAAGTGGATTTTTCTACCTTCTTCCATATTTCTTTGATCCGAGTGATTTTTTTTATTATTTCTTGTATAATTTAATAATGAAAATGGTTGGCTAAGTTTTTTATTGTATTGGATGAATGATGAGCTCTATTGTTTGTTTTTATTTTAATTCAAGATAATTAATTTAGTATTTCATGATCTTTCTTGATTGGTTTTGCATTCTCATTAAACTATTTAATTGTTTGATCACAATTAGATAGTAAATTGCTTGCTATAGTGTAGAAATACTTACAATAAGTTTAGAACGCAGTGAAATCAACATATGGACAATAAGTATTAGAAATAATATCTATGGCATGTGTGATAAATCCTGTGAATCAATGTATTTTTTCATATGAATTCGGATTAGGAATAAGATCAGATCATGTTAAACATAGGTTTAATATATCTTCGAAAGAAATATTGAATAAAAGTGGATGATCGATTATATTGAATACACTAATTTACTTAATTATGAATTAAGAGTTGAATTAAATGGCAATAAGGAAATTCACGATTCCAATACATTCAAAAATTAGATAAATATTTTATTTGCTTTCTTAGTTTAGGACTAGTATAGAGTACATATAAATCACAACTCTCTTGATATCACCACACTTCGAATTTAATAGTAGCTATTGAACTACAAATTAGACCTTATTCCTCGTGAGAATGATACTCTTAACTCACAAATTTTATTACTTGTACAACAATCTTGTACGTTTTCTGGTTTTCACACGAACAATTACCAACTGATTTTTCATTGGTCAATGTCCATTATTACAATTGGAAAAATCAGTGTTGTAAATAGCGGCATAGGTACAAGGCATGGCAAACAAATTTAGTTTATTATTATTGTTGTTATTGTTTAATAATTATAGTTTTATTTTATTTTTAACTTTTAGCCCACTGAATTAAAAAACACAAAAAGATGTTTAATCACTTATTGGACCTCTAATTTATAGATGATATCTGTAAAGATTTTGTTGTAAATTTTCGATGTGGGATAAGAATTCCTTTGGTTGGGCTATAGTGTATTATACCTTTACATAGTGTATTATACTATTATATAAATAATTATTTATATTTTATTACTCTTCACCTACGTATATTTAGTAGGTGAATGATTGAATTTTTTTTTATATTCATTAGA